CCCTCTTTCTTCTCCCTGAAAACCCTTATCCCACAGGAAGAACAACAAAAAGTTCAGCTCTTTCACTCTTCCATAGATGGAGCTCTGGGCCTGCAGTGAAGGTGACTCCTCTGGCTCCCCACTAAGCCCCAGGGCAGGAGGGCACTGCCTTTGCACAGCCATTTGCACTGAGTCTGCTCCAGACAGCAGAGCTGAAGCTTAAAGGGCAAACAGTATTTGTTTTCAGAGTCACATGCTCCAATGGAGTTAAAAAGGTAGAGCTAAAACCAAGGTGGACATTAATCACCTAACAACTTTTCTATCAGCGCTAGAATGAGTTAGACATCAGTCACCTATCTGCCAGGCAGAGTTGCTACAGCCACATGGCTAAGATCCATCTGAAATAAATTCAAGTCTAAAGTAGTCTAGACAAAGCCTGGCAAGTCCTCAGCTCTCATCTTGCTAACCTAGAAGAGGTCTGTGTTCTTCCAAGAGCAATGACATCACCTTATTTAGTGTATTACAATACACAGCTTTCTGAGAAGCAAAGGCATCCCATGCTGCTCCTGTCAAATGTATGAGAGTTAAGTGTTAAAAATCTGAAAGAGTAAGATAAAAAAACCAGATGGTCCCTGGAAGGAAGGATGATAGGCCCAACTGAAATAAAAGCTGTGTCATACCTTTTGGCCTATAGAAGATTCATTCTTTATTCAAAAATTAATCAGAGACTTTGCCAAGATGGAATGAGACCTATTAATTCAGGGCCCTGGGGTAGGAGAATGTTGCATGTCTGGTTTGCTAATCAAAAGCTCCTGCAGTTCCACCTCCAACTTGCTGATAGTTTTCAGATTAATCTCACCCCACATGAGTTCTCTTGGGCATGAGCTGGGACTGATGGAGATGAGTGTTTTAACTCCAAAACAATTGGTTTACATGGCAATGCAGCTATGGGAATTCCCAACACAGCCTGGTCTTCTGGAGTAAAATGAGGAGGGCAGCGAGGTGGGCACAGCAGGAGGTCTTCACTGGGAGGCACAGCTTTTGTGCCTGCTGTGGACACTTCTGAATACTTATCTTTACTAGTGTGCACAGCACTCCCTGGTCAAGAGAGAAGCCATAGAGTCACAGAATTGTTTAAGCTGGAAAAGACTCTTGAGGTCATGAAGTCTAAATGTTAACCAAACACTGTGTCCTGGGTTAAATATTAAAGGTGAATCCCAAAATACAGAGGACAGAATTGCTCTCTATTATCTCCCTCCACTCTCCCAAGGGAAGATGGACTGACAGGATAGATTGTGGGAGGGAATACTGACCCTTCCAGTCTTTTAGGGGCCTAAGGACAGTCCCTCTCTATTGGTGTTATGATCTGGGAGGCCCTGGCACGGTATTCGACATCTATCAAAGCCACGAGAGCCGTAAGCTGGGCCCTTCTCCCCTCCTGCTCCTTTCTCCCTGCCGGGGCTGCTGCTGGTTCCTTCAGCTTCTCGGGTGCTCCAGAATCCCCCTGCATCGAGTGCTGTGAGGAGCCGTGGAGCTCTCCCTTGGAGTGGCCCTGCCTGTCCCATATCACTGCGATCATCAAGCTCGGTTTTGTATATAAATACTTACCTGTTCTTCCCCCACATTTTACCCTTTTATCTTGCATTATAGTAAAATTTGTCTCTAGTTTCAGTTTCCAGAGTGTAGGGCTCTCTTCCTAATTCCCTTTCTATCTTCCCTTGGGAGGGTGGAGGGGGATGACAGAGAGCAATTCTGTCCTCTGGTTTTTGGGATTCACCTTTAATATTAAAGTTGGGACAGAATAATTGGCGCTCAATGTGGGACACAAATTTTAGGTTTTATTTTGAAGGATTGAAAGTTTGGAAATTGAAACTGAAAAAATAAAATTTATTTTGAAATGGTGATTCTCATGTGGATTCCTAAAAGCCTGATTTTTCACGTGGGCATGGTTTTCCTTGTGATGGAGATTCAGGGTTTTGACGTATGTTCCTGGCTTTTTACTTCCTTACTGTGGTCGAGCATTGCTTGCTGCTTGGAGGAGCTGGGCTGCAGGTCAGCTCAAGGCATTCAGGAGGCCTTTTATGATTTTTGCTGTCATGCAAAATTACTCGGTTCCTTTCTCTAGCATCTCGGAGAATTACTCCAGTCCTTTCTCCGGCAATTTCACCATGCCAGAGTCTGGATGCTCCAGGACTGTTTTGTGTTACTTTTTCTTGGTAGCGTCGGTGTGCCTGCATGCGTACCAGGGGTGGCTTAAAAACTGGTACGGAAACAACTGCAGCGGCTGCTGCCTCGTGGCGGCAGCGCGGGAAACCAGAGCCCCGTGGAACCTGCCGCTGCAAGCACAGCTCCTCCACAGCCCCGGCCCCCCAAGCAGCCCCTCTCGCTGCCGTCGCGACCCTCCCCAGCGCGGCCTCAGCCCCGCAGCGGCGGCACCGAGCGGTACCGCCCCCCCACCCGAACCGGCCCGGGTCACTCCCGTGGCAATTCGGGAAGAAGTCTGACCGCTGTGTTAGTGAGAACTCAGATACAGAGGAAGGGGCAGATGTTGGGCACAGAGAGGGTCTGACTGTGGCAGGAACAACACACGGTAACGACTCGGACCCTGAGACAATTGTCAAGTCTATGTCTATGAAAGAGTTATGGGTCAAGAAAGGATTATACTCGTAGGGAGGATGAGGCAGTGATTTCACGGCTGTTGTGGTGTTATGACTCGGGAGCTGATGGGATAGACCTGGAGGGCAGGGAGGCTCGGCAGTTGGGATCGATAGCCAGAGATTCAGGCATCAGTAAAACGATGAGGAGAAAAAACAGTGCTCATAATCTCTGGCTCCTCCTTTTAATGGCTGTCAAAAGCTGATATCCCCATAGGGAGGACACTGAATGCCAACCCAGTAGATGGAACACTGTAGATAGAGGGATTGCTTATCTGAGAGAACTGGCAGTCCAGAAGGTCATCTGTGGTGATAGGGTGAAAGGCCTGATGAGCTGCCATGCAGTAAGCTTGTGTTAAAGAAGCTCACACAGTGTAATTCCTACGTATTCCACCATTTGGGGAGGAAGGGTCTTTGCAAGAGATGGTGAAACACCACCAACTGTTGATGAATTTGCTAACTAGCTAACGCAATATGTGGACAATATCTCTAACCCCCCCTAAATGCTCATGCCTCAGCTGTGGAAAAAATGGTTGAGGAGTGGAAGACACTGAGTGATAGGGTATCCAGACTGGAGAGGGAGAAAGACACTTATACCTCTCCTGAATAGATCCACGTATCAGCCATGAGAAACAGAGGCTCTCCTAGGAGACCAGCTCAGGTTGGGCAGAACCAAACACAAAGGTCTCTGTGGCCTACTCTGTGCAGCCATAGTGTGGATGTGAGCAAATGGGATGGCAAACCCACCACTGCTCTGCGTGCAATTGTATGGCAGCTGCAGGGTGGTGCCACTAGAGATAATGGTCTCAGAATGATGACTGATTCAGTCTACAAGGAAGTAACTGCTGGTCCAAGCAGATGGGTTTCAGACTCAAATGTGAGTCCAGTACACCACGCAAACCCCTGTGTTACTTGTGGATGCCATGCTCAACATTAGAGGGGCCCTGCCTCCAGCCAGGTGGAGGAGAGGGACAACAGAGTTTATTGGACAGTGTGGACTCGGTGGCCTGGCACAACAGAACCACAGAGTTCTAGAGACCTGGTGGACACTGATGCCAGTGCACTTTGATACCATCCAATCACAAAGGAACAGACTCCATTACCATCCCTGGAGTCACTGGAGGGTCTCAAGAATTGACTACATTGGAGGCTAAAATTAGCATGACTGGGAGACCCATCAGATAATAACTGGCCCAGATGGTCCATACATCCTTTGTATAGACTTTCTCTATCTTGGTATAGACTTTGAAGACCCGAAAGGGTATAAAGGGGCCTTTGGTGTAGCAGCCATAGAGACTGAGGGCATTAACCAGCTGTCTACCCTGCCTGGTCTCTCTGATGACCAGGTGGTTGTGGACATGATGAAGATGGAGGAACAGCAGGTACCAAAAGCATATACTACAGTGCATCGTGGGCAGTACTGCTCAGAGACACTCTGCTTCCCATACATAACCTGATTGGTGAACTAGAGAGCTAAGGAGTAATAAGTAAGACTCATTCACCCTTCAACAGCCCTATATGGCCAGTGCAGAAGCCTAATGGGGAATGGAGAGGAACTGTGGACTACCATGGTCTGAATGAAGTCACACCGCCACCGAGTGCTGCAGTTCCAGACATGTTGGAACTTCACTGCTGGAATCCAAAGCAGCTAAATGGTATGCTACTACTGACATTGCTAACACATTTTCCTCTATTCACACAGCTGCAGAATGCAGACCTCAATTTGCTTTCACCTAGAGGGGTGTCCAGTATACCTGGAATCAACTGCCCCAGGAGTGGAAGCACAGCTCTAGCATCTGCTACGGAGTGATCCATACTGCTCTGGAGAAGGGTGGAGCTCCAGACCATGTACAATACACTGATGACATCATTGTATGGGGTAATACAGCAGAGGAAGTCTTTGAGAAAGGGAGAAAAGTGATCCACATTTTGTTAGAAGCTGGCTTTGCTATAAAGGGAAGCAAGGTCAAGGGATCTGCCAGAGAGATCCAGTTCCTAGGGGTCACATGGCAAGATGGGCGCCGACATATCCCTATGGATGTGGTCAGTAAAATAACAACCATGGTTTCATCCACTAAAAAGAAAGAGACACAGACCTTCTTAGGCACAGTGGGTTTTTGGAGAATGCACATCCCTGGGTATGCGTAGGTTGTGAAACCCCTCTATGAAGTCACAAGAAAAGAAAAGATTTTTTCTTGGGGCCCTGAACAGCAACAGGCTTTTGAACAGATAAAGCGAGAGATAGTCCACACACCCCAGCTGGTAGCAAGGGTGGTATTGCAGCACAGCAGATGAGTTTAGGCTCCTCTTTCTGGCCCTTTTTGGCTCTGCAGCTGTAGCTGGTCTGCAGCACAAGGCATGTTGAGCTCAGAGCCTGAAGATATTTGGCTTCACGCTGCTCCCAAGGAGCATGTTGGCTGCCTCCAAGCATTTGTCCAGCTCTGACACTGCAGTCAGGGAAAGATGGGGTACATGGGGAGTCTGGCAGGAAGTACACAGAGATAAAGCAGCAAGGGGACACAGGACTCCTTCACCTGCCCCCAGGAATTCATGGTCCTGTGAAAGGGTGAGGCAGGTCCCACTGGAGAGAGCTGTGACAATCAGCAGAAAAATCACCCTCAAGACTCACCAGCTCGGTTGCACACCCAGGTCACAGCCTTGGCCTCCAGCAGCTCACAGAGGTCTTGGTAACACTTATTATCCCTGTGCAGCCAGGTCACAGCCAGCACTGTGGCCCAGATGCTTGGCTCTGTGGCCTGTAGGAGAATAATGGCTCAGAACAGCATGCAGTGCTGACCACCTCCCCTGCCCCCTCACTGCTTCAGACCCCTTCCTTTGTGGTTTCTGATCCCTTCTTTCCTTGGGGTGCCAGGATTGCCACCAGCCAAGAGGTTCCCACTGCCCCAGCATGACACTCTGCTACCATGAAGAGGTTCCTCCCTTACCTCACCAGGCATCTTTCCCTTGATTTCAGCTTTATCAACTTCCAGAACCAAGGCCAAGCCTGAGCTGAGGGCCCAGGAGCCATCTACATTCTGCAGTGCTACCAGCTCCTGACACTCTGCAATGGCTTTGGTGGTCCAAGACCCAAAAACTGGAGATCCCAAATGAAAATCCATGGAATCCACATATTTGAGACAAGAAATAGATGATGGCAGTGGTTTATGTGCTGTGGGAGAAGATGTGAACAAGAGGGTTGGGAGAATCACAGGAAGCTGACCTCTCTATTTTCAAGTGCAATGCCCCAGAACATTCTCTCTGCTCTTCTTTGGGCAGCTACCTGCAGTCTAAGCCTCTTCCTGCATTTCCCCAGAGCAGTTCCATCCACAGCCCTTTCTGGAAAACCCTACCTCACCTCCAACCATCAACAGTGCCTCATCTCCTGGCAGTCCCACCCATCCATGTCCCAAGACCTCTTGTGATAGTCCCCCAACATATTTTATCCAAATACATCTTTATGATCCAACACCATCCCTGTCCCCTCCTTGGATGTCCCTGAGCTGGGTATTCACTGCAGGACTTGCAGGTTTAAGGGTAACTAAGGGAAGGGTTAAAGGCAAAATTAATTGGTTTCCTCCCTATGGGCAAGACATGAACCCTCCTTTAAGACCTTAGATCATCCCTCTACCTCCCGTCTGGGTCAAAGTCCCATACCTTCTGAGCAAGCCTCCTGCTTGGGCAGGACAGCAATGCCACCGGTGAGTCGACGGAGGGCAACCCATGATGCACATGCTGCTCTCAGCCAGCCAGGTGGGATCCAGATGCTCTTAGCAGAGCAGGAAGAGTGTTCCAAGGAGCCAGGGAGCTCAATAGTCTGGCAGGGAATGAGTGTCTGGCGGGGTGGCAGCAGTGCCAGGGGCCCTTCAAGGGCAAACAGGGAAAGGGGCTGAATTAAGCACATGAGAAAGAAGCACCTGGTGGTGACGGGGCCTCCCCCATGAGACTGAGAGTGTCTTGTGGCTGGGGTTCCAGCTCCAGTGGAATGGCAACATCCCACAGACCTGCCCCACCAGCTCTTTTCTGCCATTCCTTACCTTGGTACCAGCTGACCCTCTGAGATGTGCAAACACCCACATAGCTGGTGAAGGGGCAGATGATCCCTGAAGTGAGACTAATCTCAACTGCACGATGCCTTGGTTCATCCCCAAACCCACTCGCAGTCTCTAGCACCAACCTCTTCAGCAAGCATCTCGTGGCCATACGATGCCCAGCCAACCTGGGGACAGAGCGGGGTGAGGCGTGACCACCTGGCTCATCTCTGCACTTTGAAAAAAGTGGACAGGGAGAGACCCTGGACACGTGGTTTCTCTCTCTTCAGGGATAGGGGTGGACAAAGGAAAAACTTGGTCATCATCTGTCTGGAGGGAAGTGATGCTCAGGTTCCTGGGTCCTATGAGGTCAAAGCCAGGAAGGAGGGTTTGCTTGGACTCCTGTGTTCTCTGCCACTTTGGTATTGAGTGTGGAAGGTGAGAATGCACAAGCTGTTTGGACTCTCAGCTGGAGTCCATGTTAGAAATGGGGGGGATGTATCTTCCCCTAGGACAGGCTCTCACCGGCCATCTCCCTGTGGCTGCAGTGGGAATTCAACCGTGTGAGTGACCTCCTGGCCATCCAGGCTGTACTGCAGGGTCAGCACACCCTTGGCTGCTGTTGTATCCTGGGAACACATGGGAAACCTGCTGGAGGTTACTGGAGACACAAGGTGGTTATTGGGGGATATTAGGAGGTTACTGAAAGGTTACTGGTGGTTACTGAGGGGCTACTGGGAGGTAACTGGAGGTGACTGTAGTCCCATCTCTCACCTGTGCTGGTCCATGAATCTGGGCATAGAGGAGGCTGTGTTGACCCTGAAAGATGGACTGTGGGGTGTCCCCCAGCACCTCAACTTCCAGGCCACAGGGCAGAGTCCAGCTCAGTGAGACTCCCTCAGCTGCTGGCTTGAGGGCGCGTTTCAGGTACTTCAACACCTGGGGACAGAGGGCAGGACATCACAGTTTGCAACACCACCAGGGTTCAGCCCATGGCTGATAAGTATCCCTGGGGTCAGTGGAATGTGTGGGGTAGCCTGCACCAGCTGGGTTCCCTTGGCACAGTCAGGTCTGTCCCAGGGCACAGGTAGGGTAGAGCCAGGGGAAGCCTGAGGCCCTGGCTTCCTGGGGCAGCTGGGTCTCAGCTACTGCATGTGAGCAGTCCAGGTGCTGGGGTACTTGGAATTCTGTATGTATCTGGAATAGAGGGGGGCCTGACAGGGCTTCTGGGTTCCTACCACAGCTGTCAAACTGTTGTCAGAGGAGATGTAGGTAGCTTCACCCCCTGTCTCCTTGGCAAGGGCTGTAGCCAGGGCAGCGCTGTCCTCAGAGAAGAAGAAGGAGAAACACCTATGTGGGAAGCAGGGAAAAGTGTCAGAAATGGGAGCCAGAGGTAGGAGCAAAGATGCTGTGTTAGAGCTGAAGAGCACAGTCTGGAGTTACAGCTGAGGGAACAAAGCTGGGGTGCAGAACAACGGGGCAAAGGAAAGCAGGGAGTGACAGACTGGGGTTGGAGCTGGGGTTAGACAGGGAGCTGGCAGAGGGAAGGTGGGACTTGGGGCAGAACTGGGGCCAATTGAGTAGGGCTGAGGCAGAGTTTGGGGGCACATCAGGCTGTATGAGCCCTGTGCCTCAGTCTCTGCTCATGCTGTGAAGCTGTGAAGGGTGCTTTGATTGTGGGAGTAGCAAGAAAAGACATGGGGGCTTGGCACAGAGGAGCTGTGCAGGGTGGGAAGGGTCTTCAGGACACTGGAGGGGCCCAAGGTTTGGGACAGGCACTGGTGAACAGCAGCCGTCCCTCATCAGGGATGGAAATGACTGCACAACCAAAGGGCAACTGGAGAACTGGGGCAGGGTCCCCATTACCGGTGGCTGTTGCGGTGACGACACACCTCAGCTGCAATGGCTTCCTCATCAGGGGATAGCCCGGCCATGAAGATGAAGAGCTGGGAGAGAGGGAACACGAGTGGTAGGGCCCTGTATGGGGACCCCAGAATGGGGAGATCAGGCCCCTGAAATGGAGAGAGGGAGCCCAGGAGAGACCCCTTGGAGAGAGACTACCCCAGGGAGAGACATCCAACCAGAGACAGAAACCCTTAAAGATGTAAACCCACTTCTCCATTGCCCCACACCCCTCAGTATCCTCCTTGTTCTCTTGTGATCAGCATGTGCTTTGGGTGGTCCTTCCACCCACAGCTCTTTGGGTTCTTCTCCTGGGACACCTGTCCCTCCACCTCTTCATGCCCTGCACCCAGACCTGTCGTGTATGCCCACGGGGTTGGGGGGTGTTGTAGATTGAGCGGAGGGTTCCCAGCAGATTGGAGTCACCCAGACTGGAGCCAGTGGAGGGGATGCACCTCATGGCCTTGGTCACGTTGTCCTGAGTATATTCAACACTTTGCCTGCAGGGGAACAGCATGTGTGGAGAAGACACAGCTCTGTGCTGGCTCCAGTGCTCCCTGAGTCCCTACCCCAGAGCACTTCCCACAGCTATGCCCTAGAGTCCTCAGCAAGACCCTCTCCCAGAGTAGTTCTTCAAGAGACCTGGTTTCATAGTTCCTAAAAGACCTTGTTCAACAGAACCCCAAGAGATGCTATCCCAGAATACCACAAAGATCCAGTCCCCAGAATCCAGCCCTGCCCTACAGTACCCAGTCATGCCCTCCAACACCCACTCCAACACCCAGCTTTGCCGCATACCAACCAGCCAATTTCAGAGCATGCACACCTGCCCTCCAACCTCTAACCCTTCCTCACAGCACCTGTCCAGCCCCACAGCACCCAGTCATGGCCCCCAGTAACCACAACTACCCACCAGCACCCATTCCAGCCCCATAGCACCCAGGTTGCCCCACATTTGCTCACGGGAAGATGCCCACAGTGGTTTCTCCATAGCAGTAGATGTTGAAGTAGCAGCCTAGAGGCAGGCTTTTGAGGAGGAAAAGTAGGGAGTCCTGTGGAAAGATACAGGAAGCAAGTGTGGGGAGGCACTGGTGGGGGGTACAGATGCCTTTGCCCATAGTCTGGTCTGGACTTCCCTGAATGACGAGTCAGTGCCCTGAACTCCCCTGGGCACCCAAGGTATTTCAGAACTGTTTCAGTCCTGAAAGGTGGACCTACTATGCAAATGAAAGGGTCCATTTCAGCCCTACCAGTCCCCCCTCACATCTTTACCCCTGTGTAAATGCCCATCCTGGCCCTCTCCCCATCAACCTGCCCCTCCACCCTATCCTGGTCCCTGCTATGCAGAGGTACCGGTGCATGCTCAAGAAAAGTGGTGTCCAGGAGGAAGATGAGCTCTCCAGACTGGGGCTGCCCAGGCACTGCCTCAGGGATGCTGGGTGCCACTGTCACCAACACCATAGGGTCACCAAGCAGTGAGCCTAGAAGAGGTATGAGGTGAGATGAAGGCAAGATAAGGACCCCCCCCCTTCTCATCCTGGTTCTGATTCTCATTGTGCTTTCAGCTTCCACCACCCCAGACCCCGTGATGCCCCACACTAGTACATCAAAACCCTACAGTACTGTCCACCAATGGCACAGCCCAGTGCTCCATGTATTCCAATCCAGTACCTCCAGTACCTCTACCCAGTGAGCCCTAACACAGGAATGCATCCTGTTATACCTGCTACCTCATCAAATTATCCCAAACACCCCACCCTGGAAGTCCCAGGACCTAAAATACCCCATCTGAATGCCTCCAATTCCCATCCCAGTGTCCAGTAATTTCTTGACCCCCCAGAATACCCAATGCCTCCTGCAACCCAGAGGTGTCCCCATGTTTTCTCCCCAGCTGCACTCACCTGAAGGGGCCCCAGGGTCTCCCCTCTCTATCGTGATACTGACTGCAGTGGGGTCTCCATAATACACCAGCAGCTCCAAATCATGCCTCTCTGGAGGGGTGCCAGCCAGTGAGACCTGAAGAAGGGGTGCCTGGTTATCACAGGAGAAGGGAACCAGACCCAGCATTCAGCTGGGAGCATGGGCACTGATCCCACTGCATTCCCTTTTCTCAGTGATGACACCCCTCCCCAGCTCCCCCAGGATCCTGGCACTCAGGAGGAAATACCTGTGCAGAGCTGTGGTCCTGGGCAGTGTAGATCAAAGGGGTAAGGGAGAAGTTGGCCTGGACATTGGTCACTCCACGGGGCGACTGGAGGCTAGTGGTGAGCAGCAGGCTGTAGGGCAGCTTGCTAGTGCCACAGTTCCAGGCTGCAACAGAAACAGGGCATTGGGGAGGACAAAGGACCCGCACAGGATTGGGCACCCATATATATGGAGAGAATGTGTCCCTGACCATGGCCATGGGGTGGAACTAGATAACTTTGAAGTCTCTTCCAAGCCAAACCCTTCTATGATTTGAACTGGAGGTTGTCAATAAGGTATATGGAAAGGTCCATGAGTCTGTTTATGGGAAATATGTGCAGGAGGTGTGCATTCCCTCATGAGGCTCATGGAAGTACACATGGATGTGTCCATGGGCTGCATGAGGGAAAAATGTGGGTCCTCCTTTGCATGCAAAAGGAAATTGCATAAGGTCTGTTTATAAAGTACATGGATAGACTGGCCCTTCTATGGGGTGTGTGACTGGGAGGACAGATTCCTTGTGGGGCATCTAGAACAAATTTAGGCTGCCAGCTCCCCGTCAGGACATCTCTGCATCAGGATATCTGTACGCTGGGACAAATCTCTGTGGATCAGCAGATGACCGAGGGTTGTGCTGTTGCTGGTGGAGAGTTCTCCCTTCCTGTTTGTGTGGTCACTCACCATAGTGTTTTGTGTGGGGATGCAGTGTGGGTGGCAGCACAAAACGGGCTGCTCCATCTGGCTCTCGTGACAGCTCTTGGGCAAAGCGCAAGGTCACAACCACTTCGCTGCCAGGGGAAAGGGTGCCCAGTGAGCAGACAAACACCTCGCCTGGATACATAGACATATCCTGAAGGTAGCCCAGGTTCTCCCAGTCCCCTGTAGCCTTGTGCAGCTGCTGGGCCTGGGTGGGAAGGAGAAGGGTAGAAAGCTGATCTCCAGGCGGGTGATGCAGCTCATCCCATACCCCTGTGGTGGTTCAATCATTTGTCTCTGGATGCTGGTACCTCATCCTGCAGCATGGCCTCAACCTTGGCATCTTCACTGCAGGCTTGGAAGGAGTATATAGCCATGTGGGGCCCCAGGGGGAAAACAAAGAGGATTTCTGTGGAGGTTGGACCTTTGTTCTGGTAGATGAGTTCGGAGGCCACATCAGCAACATAATCCTGGATAGCAACATCCACCACAGCACTACACAGAGGCACTGAGGACAAGGGTACGTGGAGACTCTTTCCCAGCAAAAATGATCCTGCTGTTGTTGGGAAAGACACACTGTCCGTCTGCACACATGAATGACACAAGGAGGTGGTGGGGGCTGCTTCTAGTATGTGGCTGTTCCCACCCTGGAAACCAAGACTAGATGACAAATGTTACTGAGGGTCCACAGAACTAAGCCTGCCATAGAACAGTGCCTGGCCCCCACCCCCAACAGCTTCCCCTTCTCCCCATTCCTGTAGAGCTCTTGACCGTTTCCATCCTTTTTTCATTCTGGGAAGATCCAGTGCAGATATTTCCCTCTATGGCAACCTGTCCTTCTTTGCGACAGTTCCCCTTTGGGAGTATCCCCCCAATGTCCCTCAGCTGTTTGATCCCCAGCTCACCATCATGGATGTAGGATTTTCTCAGTAGTCCAAAACTCTGCCTCCACATGTCTGGAGATCTGCAGACAAGAAGGGTCTCCTGTAAGAACGGAGATCCTCAGAAACCACCAAGGACCTCCTATTTGGTGAAGATTCCTTTCCATTTCCTAGTCCTTCATACATAACTGGAAGCCCCAACAGCTGTGTTGACTGTTGGCCCCAACATGTACAGCCAGAGCAAACCCAGAGATTCAGGAATTCTTGTTCATGAGCACTAGGGCATCACCAGGAGTATCACCACATGGAGGAGGTCTGCATCCCACCCCCACTATGAGAGAATCCTGAAAAGAACTGAGGGACAGCAAGGGAGAGAGCCAACAGCATCCTGGACTGCATCAAAAGAAGTGTGGCCAGCAGAGCCAGGGAGGTCATTCTGCCCCTCTACTCTGCTCTGGTGAGGCCACACCTGGAATACTGTGTACAGTTCTGGAGCCCTCAGCAAAAGAAAGATACAGACCTGTTGGAGAGGGTCCCGAGAAGGCCCACCAAGATGATCAAAGGCCTGGAGCACCTCTGCTATGAATACAGGCTAAGAAAATTGGGGCTGTTCAGCCTAGAGAAGAGAAGGTGCCAGGGAGACCTTAGAGCACCTTCCAGTACTTGAAAGGTGCCTACAGGAAAGCTGGGGAGGGACTTTTCATCAGAGAAATGATAGTGATAGGACAAGGGGTAATGGTTTTAAACTGAGAGAGGGGAGATTTAGGTTAGATATTAGGAAGAAATTCTTCACTACAAGGGTGGTGAGGAACTGGAATGGATTGCCCAGGGAGGTTGTTAATGCCCCATCCCTGGAGGTTTTTAAGGCCAGGCTGGACGAGGTTTTGTGCAACCTGATCTACTGGTAGGTGTCCCTGCTTATGGCAGGGGGGTTGGAACTTGGTGATCTTTAAGGTCCCTTCCAACCTTAATGATTCTATGATTCTAAGATGGAGGGAAGATGGTGTGAAAGCAAAAGTGGATGGATGGATGGATGGATGGATGGATGGATGAATTGTTATCCATACAAGGCTGCATGGATAGATAGGCAGACAAGGTCCATTTTAGGATAGATGGATATACAGGTGGACAGAGAGATTTATTTTTTTTTTAATGGATGAATGGACAGGTAGAGGGGTCTATTTTAGAAGTGATGGGCTGGTGCCCATCACAAACAGCATTGCTTGAATGTAGCTGCACATGAGAGAGCATGTGAGTTCATGGAGTAGCTTGCAGGGACTGGTTGAAAGCTCAGGTAGTAAGGGAGCACATGATGAAGAGAGAAATGAGGCCAGGATCAGGTATTACATGATTGCAGAGCAAGCCCCAGAATGTACTGAGGGGAGGGTATAGTTCAAGTGACATCTGGCTGTCTTCTGGCCAGGTGCCACGAGTTGAGACCTCATTCCACCCAAAACCCATGCACACAAATCTCTCTGGTTCAGACACATTTGCATCAATTTCTCCAGTTCCTGCCCTAGGAAGACAGGATGGGGAGCACCAGAAAGATCCCCTTAACCAAGCTGAGAGGGTGGACAGACAGAGCAAATAGGTTGTAAGTGCTCGGGGGTGTAGGGGTGGGACAGAAGGATGGACTGAATAGAGGCAGGCTCTCCCCAGTGAACAGGGCCAGTGCAGAAAGAAGGACAGAATAACAACGTGAAGCACAAAGAAGCAGACACTTACCAGCAGCCAGGCCAGAGGCAGCAACCTGACAATCAGGTGGACGGAGGGAGAAATGGAATGGGAAGGGGCAGAGAGAGGATGGGGCAGAGGGTTTGAGATACAGGGGCAGCAGAGGTGGGATGGAGACAGAGCAGGAGATGTTCGGTCAGGCAGGAAGATGCAAAGGATGGGATGCAGACGGCTGGGATGGACAGAGAGGCTGGGGCAGGCGGGGGGGCAGGGGGGCAGTG